CATTCAATAAATACAGTACTACTTACATCCACTGGGTCCAAATTTAAGCTGTTTTGTATAGGCCGTATATAAATACGGCCTTGGCCCAGCCTGTCCTTTATGTTTTGTGGAGTATACTTCCCTCTTATGGTAACCAACTTCTTCTCACCTCTCACCAATACATGTTAGCAACTCAAAACCTCCAGCGTCTTGAAGCTTAGGGAAGTAGGTATATAGTACTTGACAGAACTGCTCCGGACTTGTATTGATTTCTGGTATAAATACCGTTTTCTCACCTAGCCCGACATCAATTAATAGCTGCTTTTCTTCTGACCTAGGGGTTGTATCAGCATCAGGTTTGGATAAGCAAACCATTTTCCTAGTCCAACTTTGGGTTTTGGACTTTCCCTTTTTTTTGGGGTAAGGACTTTGTTTTGCAGGCATGAACCGGTGAAACACACAAGCTGTAAAACACAAAATAAAGTATTCTGTTAACAATCTCCTCACAGTGTTGATAAAGTACTCCATAATCAGTTCCATAATAATCAGATATTATTTAGCCTGCCTACCCTCCTAGACTAGGAGGAATCTAGATCTAGTCTAGCGAGTCTAGCTAGGCCTTGCCTAGGCTGTACGTAGCCTAAACTGGGAGGACAAGAAAATTATCCCCTCCCCCCGCCACACACACTGCTTCATATCTAATTTAGTAATAGAAAAAACAATGATATTAATATATAGGATAGGCCTAGGGCCAAGCCTAGCTAGGCCTAGGCATCATAGGCATGCCTACTACCAGCTACTATGCCTAGGGCCAGGTACTTAGGCATAGGGCTAGGGCCTAGCTAGGCATAAAAGTTTACATTTTCTCTTTTAAAATTCGGAAGAAGGTGAATCAAGTCTACTTTTTTCAAGGCATCTTCAATACTAATAGACTTGGCCATTGTCTTTCCTCGCTTGTCAACGATCGACGGCACGACGAAGAAAGAGAGAAGTTCTACTAGGCTCGTTCCCACAGCCGTTGATTTTTTCCACTTGACCCGATGTCAAAGGTCATGAAAGCACCGAATGATAAAAGAACCGTACGTAATGATGAAAGGGCCGAAAGCTGGTATAAATACCGTTTTCTCACCTAGCCCGACATCAATTAATAGCTGCTTTTCTTCTGACCTAGGGGTTGTATCAGCATCAGGTTTGGATAAGCAAACCATTTTCCTAGTCCAACTTTGGGTTTTGGACTTTCCCTTTTTTTGGGGGTATGGACTTTGTTTTGCAGGCATGAACCGGTGAAACACACAAGCTGTAAAACACAAAATAAAGTATTCTGTTAACAATCTCCTCACAGTGTTGACAAAGTACTCCATAATCAGTTCCAACACTGATACATTAATTTTGCTATTTATATTATTGTATAAAAACAACATTTAAAAGTGTTATTGTGGGGTGAGGGCAGTATTTGCAGATGGGATTCTTGAAAGTGACATTAGGAGTTTGAGACTCAGACTGCAGACCATACCATGAAGTAGCACGTAAAAGAGAGAAGAAATAGCAGTTTCTGCACTGCCATGGTTGGGAAATAATTATCAAACCAAACATTATTATTATTAACATTTACCATCATTATAGTTGTTATCATCCTTATAATTTATACCGTAGTCAATAATGAAGTTCCAACAAATTTATTGTGAAATGCTAAAGAGTTATGGCCGGGTTTTTGGCAGTACAGTATTGTAATACTCTTAAAATCTCAAGAGTTCATACACTTATTCTCAGCACTTTCAGGCATCACCTTCAGTGATTTACGCTTACAAGAGAACAGAAAAAAAATTAAAGTGGAGGATTTTTTACTGGGGAAGTGGTACTGTTTGATAATAAATAAAAGAGAGTGGTACTACCTAAATTTACCTTGGAGTTTATATAATTTCAACAGTGCTTTCAAGTGTAATGGGTCACATTTCCGGTCTTGTGACTTTCAAATATAAATGAATTTCATATTAGCAAATTTTATCCATTACTGAACTTGTGTCCATCATGAAAAGTATTGCACTCTGTTTGCTAGATAAAAGATAAAGACATTGAGAATAAGCTCCAGCCTAGTCCTGAAAATATATAATAAAAATAGTTTTTTACAGTAGGCCTATAGGTCTACAGTACCTGTTTGTTTGCAGCTGTTTCTCAACCGGTGCCGGTCACCTATTGTGCTGACACCGAAGGCACTTACAGGGGCAGATCCAGAAATGTCCAAAAGGGGGGGCCGGAAGCGGGGGCCGAAAGTTGGGCCGATTGAGACAACACTGCCGTAGGGGGTCTGGGGCATGCCCCCACAAAATT